GATGTTAATCCTTTGCGAACTCTCTGCCATGAGTAAAGCATTCTGTTTTGAGCAAAGAAGGGACTGGATCTGGTAGCAGGATGGTGCCAGCCATGACTGCAAAGTCTTCCTGCCCTCTAAGCTATCTTAGTTCTGGCTGGATTTTATTGGAGTATGTTCAACACACACACACACACACACACACACACACACACACACACACACACACACACGAGCATGTGCGCGTGCTCCTCTTCCTGCTCAGGGAAGACCCTGAGAACTTCTTTTCTCAATAAACTGCTTTACTTCTCAAATGGACAGGATTCCCATTCTCTCGTTCCCAGATCTTCCTGGAAAATTTGTCTGCCTCTTAAGGGATGTGCCCTAGATGAGTAGAGCTGAGAGTCTTAAGAAATCTGATGATAGATTCCCAAGGAGGAATAAAGAAGGATGTGTGGCTGCCAGTGGATGTGTGACTACATAGTGGGACTGACTATTTCTAAGCTGTTACTGCCACCTAGTGTGGAAAAGATAGTATGCTAGTATCTAGATGGTAGAAAGGTATATGGAGGGAAAAGGCAGAAAAGAGCATTTATCTTATCAGAAAGTCAAGATGTTGCTGAACATCTGAAAAACCACTTCTATCTCTATTTTGAAATTATCCCCATGGAGCAAATAAAAAATAGACATGCAATGATGAAGCCATAGGAGACACGTGGTCACTGAAAGAAGCACCGAGATGAAGCCAGGATGCCAAGCAGTGGACTCACTGGTGATTCCCATTTCTCTACAAGTGGTAAGGAGGGTTTAGCTGAAATCAAAAGTACAAGGAAATCCAAGCTATGAGGACGTCCTCACATGTGGTCACAGTACGCATGGACACAAGCAGCAGACTATGGTCTACAGCTATCAGCAAGTCATAATTACAGACAGTCTTCTCTTGATTTAAAACCTTATCCAAGATACATAGAAATGAAGGAGATAGCAAGGGATGATGGATAACAAGTTGAACAATCTAGAGAAAGAAACACCTTACTTAAAACTGACTTGAGAAGAAATAGAAATCTTAACATGCCTTTAACTAGTAAGGGGGTTGAACAGATGTGTTTGCTTACTATATTTGAGTACTTGGCCCCTACCTAGTGCATTGTTCCAGAAGGCTGTAAAATCCTTAGTAGGTGAGATCTAGATGGGAGAAGTGGACTACTAGGGGTTGTTCTTGAATGTTAATAGCTCACACCTGCTTCTGGCCCTTCCCTGAGCTTCCTAGGTATGAGCCAGCTCCCACTGTCATAGGCATGGGCTGATCCTGTTGCCATAGCAGCCCTGCTATGAGCCAAAATACCTCTTTCCTCCCATAACTTTCTTTGCCCAAGAAGGGTAACTAATACACTTCTATGCTGGTTAATTTTATGTCAACTTGTCACACTCTGGGGTCATTTAGGAAGAGGGAACCTCGATTAAGAAAATGTCCCCATCAGATTGGCCTGCAGGTAAGCCTGTGGTACATTTCTTTGATTGATGATTGATTTGGGAGGTCCCAGCTCACTGTGAGCAGTGCCATTCCTGACTGGTGGTGCTGGATGTACAAGAAAGCAGGCTGAGACACGATGGGCAAGAAGCACTTCTCCATGTCCTCTGCATCAGTTCCTGCCTCTGGACGCCTGCCTTGAGTATATGCCTTCTCCCCTCAGTGATAGACTGTGATGTGGAACCATAAGCTGAAATAACCCTTTTTCTCCCTAAGTTGCCTTTGGTAATTGTTTAAATTTCATCAATAGAAACTCTTAAGATACTCCCCCAACCATGGAATTCAGGTGGCTGAAATGGGGAGCCTACAGAATATGAGTTGATACCCCTCCTCAAATCTTTCCCAATAACTGGAGAGATGGGGAAGTTTCTTGACAAGAGGCCAGGATTCCCAGTACCAAGGAAGGACAAAGAAAACAGAAAGCAAAGAGAAAGCCACAAACCAGCATCCTTTATGGATATTGACATAAAAGTCTGAAGACTGAAATAAAATGATAGAAACTTTATTTCAGTATTTCAAAAGAATGATAAACCATAACCAAATGAGACATATTTCTGGAATGGAGTGCTGGCTCAGAATATAAAATAAGTCAACATTATACACCCCATGAACAGAATGAAGAGATAGGGAAGAGTACACGCGTGATCAGGAAGTCAGGGCAGGCACTCAAGCAAGGCAAGCACCTGGGAGCAGGAAATGCTGCAGAGCCCATGGAGGCTGTTTTCCTGGCTTCTTCCTCATGGCTTGCTCAGCCTGCTTTCTCATAGCATCTGGAGTTGGTCCCACCCACAGCAAGCTGGGCCCGCCCACATCAATCACTAATTGTGAAAAGCCCTATAGGCTGGAGATGGTTTCTCAGTTGAGGTTCCCTCCTCTCAGATGGCTCTAGCTTGTGTCAAGTTGACAATACTAGGGGGCACAGGTTCCCTGTGGAAAAGGATGAAGGAAGATTACCTGTTAGCAGGTGACAAGATCTTAGGAGCCTTCTAAAACAAAGAGAAAAGTGTTATAACTAATAAATAAGAGCCCCAAAGTAGCAAGCTACAAAATCAGTGCTCAGAAATCAGCTGCTTTTTTTTTTTTTAACTAACAATGGGTATTTTATAAGGAATTTTAGAAAGCATTTCCATTTACAATAGACTTAAAAATAGTTCAAAGTAAAATTAACTGAAGAGACTAAAAACTTATTCATCAGAAACCATAAAACACTGCCAAAAATTTACAGGAGACACCAAAATGGAAAGACATCCTATATACATGAATAAAATATTGACATCCTAATATTTTTAGAAAGTCATTACTGTCCACAGACATCTACAAACTAGTGATGCTTTTTGCAGAAATTCAAAAAAAAAAAAAAAATCCACCCTACAACTTCTATGATACCCCTCGCGACCATCAATAACTAATGTGTTAATATGAGATCATCCAGGAATGCCTAAATGGGAAGACATCATTGAGTTCTCCATATTAGACAGGCCATATCTCCAGATTAAAGGGGGTCATGTTTGCAGAAGGTAAGGCTGGGTGAACAGAGGAAAAGTCTAGACAAGATTCCAAGGACTCGGCCTTGGCACCCACTGAGGTGCACAGAGCAGTAGCCCCAGGGAGTGACCACCCTAAGTAATCCCAGTGCAGCATTTCCAGGAAAGGCATAACAGACCAAGGAAAGTGGGTGTCCGAGAGGCTGCTGGGAGCTCCCGCAAGCTATTTTGCTTGATCTGTCTGTCCATTTGGAGGGAAATGGAGCCACTAGGAATAATCATTCCATTGAGACAATGAACCCCTCATTCCTGGGTTCTTGATGGTACAGTTAAATGACTGGAGCTGGACACTAGGGGCTGTAGGAGAGAAGAGTAGCAACAGTGCCTGATGGCAGGATGGCGAGAAAATCTCAGAAATACCAGGAGACTTGGTTTCTGGAGTCTGGTGCTAGTCCTCAGTTGGTGAGCAGGCAGGAGTTTAGAAGGGATGCTGCCACTCTGTTGTACTTGGGAGGGGATCAGTCACACCATTTGATTTAAGTTTGGTCCTTCACCTGTTGTCAGTCACAGGCTGTAATGGTTCATTGCATAATTTTATAGTCAGACCCTTATGCCCACACTTCTTCTGAACAGCCAGGGCAGCTGATAGTTTTGCTACTGAGTCCATGATGTCCTGTGAGTATCTTGGGTTGTATGTATTGTACAAAACAACAAAGTTAGTATTTCTATTATAATGCCAGCCACAGTGTGGGCTTGCACCTGGGGGCCTGGGTTTTTTCACTGTGGACTTTGCAGTTTGGGGGGAAATCAGGCATCTCCAGAGGCCAAATATACATATTCCCAGAAGTCCAAAAGTGCAGGTGTCTCCTTGCTCAGCAGATCTTACTGCGTCACTAACGATGCCAATGGCCCAGGAGTCCTTTGCAAACACCCAATGATCTGAACTCAAATGGCTTATCACTGTGGAGTGATGTAAACAGCGGGAATGGCTGCCCCAATAGTGCAACTGTTTGCTTGTCACCTTGATAGTCTAACCGAACCGTTTTTAAAATTTTCATTTATGAGCCAGGCAGTGGTGGCACATGTCTTTAATCCCAGCATTCAGGAAGAAGAGGCAGGTGGATTGCTGTGAGTTGGAAGCCAGCCCTGGTCTATAGAACGAGTTCTAGGACAACCAGGGCTGTTACACAGAGAAACTCTGTTTCAAATTTTTTTTTTCAGTTCTGTATGTATGTATGTATTTATGTATGTATGCATGTATGCATGTTTGTTTGTGTGCCCTGGTGCATGTGTGGAAGTCACCTTTCTCTTGCTATCATTTAGATGCTGGGGACCAGACGCAGGTCCTCAAGCTTGACAGAAAATGCTGTGTTATCTATCTTGCTGGTTCTTGCCAAACATTCTTGAAGAGATAGCTTCTAGTTATCGCATTATAGCTATGAATATTCCAGCTGAAGGATAAACTCAGTAGAAGACTTCAGAAGATTATTTAGGCTTTGGAAATCTCCACTGGTGTTGAGAACCGACCTGCATGTGGGTAGTGTCTCTGTGGCCGCCATGGACTTCAGATTGTGGTGATGAGGGGGATGGTGGCACTTGGTCCTCATGGGACATGATGATGCTTTCTTTTGGGGAGGCTTCTCACAGCTTTTCTAGCCCAGGGTTTCTCCAAGTGTAGACACTGACTGAGTGTAGCTAGATGGTCATTTGAAGCACATAGTTATATGAATGTGTATTTGACTTCAAATCCATTGTGTCCAGGATCTAAGCACTCCAATATTTCTGTTGGTTTGCAACCTTTCTCTTATCTGAGAGACATACAAGGGGGTCGGTGCTTTCCTGTCCATGATTTAGACAAGTCAGCCATTGCCCAAAGAACAAAGTGATTCTTGTTTCAAAAACTCAGGTTTGAAGCTTTTTGGGGGGGCGGGGGCTGCTGCTGCTATTCTATGAAACAAATGATTTTCTTATCTCTTGTTCCTCACTTTTCTCCTCCCTGCCTCCAGGAAGGGTGTCTGTGGCCTTCTGACAGCTCCGTGCAGCGGCCAGGGGCTTCAGAGGTAAGGTGCAGGCTGGGGGAGAAACCATGGCCACAGCCTTGGCTTTGAGATGAACTTTAAGATGAAGCCATTGTTTGTTTAAAAGGGGCAAGAAGGGATTCCCTCTTAGAGTCATGTGTCTAAGCTAATGCAGAGAATAGGATGAAAATTGCTAAACATTGGATTATCTTAGAGCTACCAACTGAACTTTACAAATGTAGGCATAATTTGTACATATGAAATAGCATGGATTCTTCTCACATGTCTAGTTTAATAATAATAATAATAAAATTCAAGGGTCTGAACACATAGCCCTGGTTGGCCTGGAACTTGCTATGTGGATTAGGCCAGTCTTGAACTCAGAGACCCATCAGCTTCAGTCTCCCAAGCAGGGGTTAAAGGTTTGTCCCATAATGCTTATCAATTATCTGAATTTTTAAAGAATTTCTATATAAATGTAAAAATAACAAAACTTGGATGTAAAAGATCATGAAACAATGAACTTTGTGGATGTAGGTATAGGCAGTCAGAGTTTCTTAGTATTCACCTGTAGAAAGATAAAGAAGTGTGGTGGTCACCCTCCTGGCCTCTAGAACTCTGTGGCCTACACAGAATCCATGTCAGTCTTCCTTAATGAGACAGACACAAATATCTATATGCTAGAGAATAGGAGTAAAATGCAGATGTAAGCTAGGTTTATTTAACATATGACTAGCTCACAGAGAGTGTTCAGTGGAGTTGGGTTTGGAATAAACTTTAGGAGTAAGACATTGTCTAACTTTCACTAAGAGGGTCAATGGAGAAATTTTACCTACAAATACTCAATTAGTGTTCTCATGTTGCCACAATTTCACCAACATCTTTCTTTCCATTCTAAGTCAAGTTTTATATTTGATTCTACAGTAAACAAAACTCCATTTGTTTTTTAATTTGTCATGTATTGAAGTTTTAAAATAGTATGTTTTGCCTTTAAGTACAAAAAGAAATATGGCTTGACACCAATCAGTGGCCATATGTACTTATATGAATATGGGTCTGTATATGTAGATACGCTCATGCATGTAATATTTGTCTTCTAGAAGATAATTGTAAGAAGGGGAGATTTATTTATGTAATGAATTTTTGCCATTAGCATTAGAAGCAATGGCTTTATTGTGTCATTTTCGTGCATAATGTGTCACACTTGTTCTCATTTGGTTCCCTCCCCACCGTCTTCTGTTTCTCTTCTCTGACTGTCTCCCTTTCTTCCCCCAAGTGCCTCTTCTCTTCTCACCACATATATTCTACACCCTCTACTTCTCTTGCATTAGGATTTTTCTACCCCCTCATGTTCCCTTTTTAGCCTCATAATTCCTTTCTCCTACACCTCTCCTCCCCCGTCCCTTTCCCTCTCTCCCATTTTAAACTAGGTTCTTCATATAAGAGAAAACTATATATAGTTCCTGAGTTTGGTTTATTCTACCTAACAATGATTCCTCCATCCATTTTCCTGCAAATGTCACAATTTGATTTTTCTTCTTATCTTGACAAAACTTGTGTGCACATTCAACATTTTTTAATACATCCATCTGTTGATGGATACCTAGGCTGGTTCCAGTCCCTGGATTTATGAATAAGATAACAACAAATATGGTTGTATATATAAGTATTTCCTAGAGTATTTTGTACATATTTGTAAGAGTAGTATACTGGGAAATTTGGTTCTGTTTCTTCTATACCTGTGTCCACAAGTCCTGTCTTTGGAGCAGGCCTTAAATTCAGTCAGACAGTAGTTGGTTATCTGCTTAATATCCACACCACTATTGTACCAGTTGGAGTGTCTTTCCACACCACTTGCTCTTGTAGCTCTCAGAGTTCACAGGTGGGTAAGATGGTATCTCAAAAGTAGTTTGCATTTTCCTGATGGCTAAAGACATCAAACAGTTTTGTTTTTTTTTAAATGCCTCACAACTATTAGTTTTCCTTCTTTTGAGAACTCTACTTAGTTCCATGTCCCAGTTTTAATTTGGTCGTTTGTTTCAACACTGTCAGATATATGGCTAGTAAAGATGTTTTTCCCATTCTGTAAGGTGCCTCTTTATTTGGATGGTTGTCCTTTGCTGTGCAGCTCTTTGGTTTCATTCCTCAATTGTTGGTCTTAATGTCTACACTACTGGAGTCCTGTCAGAAAATTCTTTCCTGTGTCTATAATTTGAAACATAGTTTGTGCTCTGTTCATTAGCAGTTTCAGGGTATCAAGTGTTATGTTGAGGTCCTTGATCCATTTGGAGTTTAGTTTTGTGTAGGATGAATGATAAGGGTCTGCTGTAATCCTTCTACAAGAAGCTATCCAGTTTACTGAGCCTCATGTGTTGAAGATACTGTCTTTTCCATAGTGTGTATGGATGGTCTGTCAAAAGTCAGGTGGCTGTGGTAGTACAGGCTTAATTTGGGTCTTCAGACTTTTCCACCAATCATTCTTTTTATCTGTCTAATTTAATTTTTCATTTCACACTTAATTTCATCTGGATCTTCAGAAATGCTCTTTACTACATTGTATTGCTGTGTCTTGACTTTTTTCCCTCCCTCCCTCCATTTTTCCCTTTCTGCCCTCTCACATGCACTCTAACCACCCTCCCCTCCCATCCTCCCACCCCAAATCCATATGTAGGGGAATGCCATCCAGTTGGGGTCATGTAGATCTGACAGGTCATGTGAAGTAGGGACTAGGGCTTCTCTCCTGTCTCTAGGTTAAGGCAGTTATCCCTCCATGGGGTTAGGGTGTTCAAGGGTACCTCCTACTTTCTCTTCTAAGAGGTTCAATGTGGCTGGATTGATGTTGAGGTCTTTGATCCATTTGGACTTGAGTTTTGTGTATGGCGACAGACATGGGTCTATCTGCAGTCTTTTACACACCCTCATCCAATTGTGCCAGCACCATTTGTTGAAGATGCTGTCCTTGCCCCATTGTATAATTTTAGCTGGTTTTTGAAAATCAGGTGTTCATAGGTGCGTGCGTTAATATCAGGATTTTCAATTCGATTCCATTGGTCTACCTATCTATTTTTGTGCCAGTACCAGGTTGTTTTCAGAACTATAGCTCTGTAGTAGAGCTTAAAGTCAGGAATGGTGATGCCTCCTGAAGTTCTTTTATTGTATAGGGTTGTTTTGGCTATCCTGGGTCTTTTGTTTTTCCATATAAAGTTGATTATTATCCTTTCAATGTCAGTGAAGAATTGTGATGGGATTTTAATGGGGATTGCATTGAATCTGTAGATTGCTTTTGGCAAAATTGCCATTTTTACTATGTTTATCCTACCTATCCAAGAGCATGGGAGATCTTTCCATTTTCTGGTATCTTCCTTAATTTCTTTCTTTAGAGCCATAAAGTTCTTACTATGTAGATCTTTTACTTGTTTGGTAAGCATTGCCCCAAGATACTTTATGCTGCTTGTGGCTATTGTAAATGGTGATGTTTCTCTGATTTATTTTTCTGCCTCTTTGTCGTCTGAAAAAAGTAGGACTATTGATTTTTTTGAGTTTATCTTGTATCCTGCTAGTTTGCTGAAGGTGTTTATCAGCTGTAGGAGTTCCCTGGTAGAGTTTATTGGGTCGCTTATGTAAAGTATCATATCATCTGCAAATAGAGACAATTTGACTTCTTCCTTTCCAATTTGGATCCCCTTGATCTCCTTTTGTTGTCTTATAGCTTTAGCTAGAACTTCAAGTACAATATTGAAGAGCTATGGAGAGAGGGCAGCCTTGTCTTGTTCCTGATTTTAGAGGAATTGGCTTAAGTTTCTCTCCATTCAGTTTGATGTTGGCAGTTGGTTTGCTCCTATTATGTTTAGGTATGTTCCTGTTATCCCTGATCTCTCCAAGACCTTTATCATGAAAGGGTGTTGAATTTTGTCGAAGGCTTTTTCAGCATCTAGGGAGATAATCATATGGTTTTTCTTTTTCAGTTTGTTTATATGGTGGATCACGTTGATAGATTTTCACATGTTAAACCATCCCTGCAATCCAGGGATGAAGCCTACTTGGTCATGGTGGATGATTTCTCTAATGTATTCTTGAATTCGGTTTGCCAGTATTTTATTGAGTATTTTTGCATCGATGTTCATCAGGGATATTGGTCTGTAGTTTTCTTTTTTAGTTGTGTCTTTGTGAGGCTTGGGTACCAAGGATATTGTGGCCTCATGAAAAGAGTTTGGCAATGAACCTTCTGTTTCTATTTTGTGGAACAATTTGAGGAGTATTGGTATTAGTTCTTCCTTGAATGTCTGGTAGAATTCTGCACTGAAGCCATCTGGCCCTGGACTTTTTTTTTGGTTGGAAGGCTTTCGATGACTGCTTCTATTTCATTGCGGGTTATAGGTCTATTTAAGTTGTTTGTATGTTCTTGATTTAATTTTGGTAAGTGATACTTATCCAGAAATTTGTTCATTTCCTTTGAATTTTCAATTTTTGTGGAATACAGTTTTTCAAAGTATGACCTGAAAATTGTCTGGATTTCCTCTGTGTCCATTGTTATGTTCCCCTTTTCGTTTCTGATTTTGTTAATTTGCATGTTCTCTCTTTGCTTTTTCATTAGTTTGGATAAAGGTTTGTCTATCTTGTTGATTTTCTCAAAAAACCAATTCTTTGTTGCATTGATTTTTTTGTATTGTTTTCCTGGTTTCTATTTTGTTGATTTCAGACCTCAAGTTGATTATTTCCTGGCGTCTACTCCTACAGGGTTAGTTTGCTTCTCTCTGTTCTAAGGCTTTCAGTTGTGCTGTTCTCTTATGTGACTATCCTCTGTTTTCTTTATATGGGCACTTAGTGCAATGAACTTCCCTCGTAGCACTGCTTTCAAGGTGTCCCATAAGTTCGGGTATGTTGTGTCCTCATTCTCGTTGAATATTAGAAAGTCCTTAATTTCTTTATTTCTTCTTTGACCCAGGTGTGGTGCAATTGCACATTGTTCAGTTTCCATGAGTTTGCAGATTTTCTGCTATTTGTGTTGTTGTTGAATTCCAATTTTAAAGCATTGTGATCTG